TTGGGGTTGGTTCCAAGTCTTTGCTATTGTGAACAGTGCCATAATAAACATAGATGTGCATGTGACTTTATAATAGAATGATTTGTAATCCTTTGGATATATACCCAGTAATGGGATTGCTGGGTCAAACAGTATTTCTATTTCTAGATCCTTGAGGAATTGCCACACTGTCTTCCACAATGGTTGAATTAATTTACACTCCCACCAAGAGTGTAAAAGCGTTCCTATTTCTCCACATCCTCTCCAGCATCTGTTGTCTCCAGATTTTTTAATGATCACCATTCTAACTGGCATGAGGTGGTATCTCAATTTCTCTAATAACCAGTGATAAGCGTTTTTTCATGTTTCTTGGTTGCATAAATGTCTTCTTTGAAAAGTGTCTTTTCATAAAAATTTCTGCCTTAATTTCATTATTTGGCCAAAAGTTATTCAGGAGCAGGTTGCTTAATTTCAATGTAAATATATGGTTTGTGCAATTTTTTTTGTATTGAATTCAGTTTTATTGTGCTATGGTCTGAGAGTGTGGATGGCTTATGTATTAGACCATTCTTACATTGCTGTATAGAAATACCTGAGACTGGGTAATTTATTTAGAAAAGAGATATAATTGGCTCACAGTTACACAAGCTGTACAAAAAGCATAATGCTGGCATCTGTTCAGCCTTTGGGAAGCCCTCAGGAAACTTTCAATTATGGCAGAAGGTGAAGAGGGAGTGAGGCATTTCACATGGTGGGAGCAGGAGGAAGAAAGGGATGATGTACCACAAACTTTTAAACAGCCAGATCTCATGAGAACTCTTATCACAGGACCAGAACCAAAGGGATGGTGCTAACCCAGTCATGAAGGATTCACCTGAATGATCCAGTTCCCAACGTTAGGGATTAGAATTGAACATGAGATTTAGGTGAGGACACAGATCCAAACCACATCAGTATAATTTTTAGTTTTTTGAATTTGCTGAAATTTGTTTTGTGTCTTGTTATGTGGTTGCTTTTAGAGTATGTGCTGTGTGGCAATGAGAAAAATGTATACTCCATTGTATTTACTGGTGAGGAGTTCTGTAGATGTCTATCAGATCCATTTTGTCCAGTGTTGAGTTCAAGTCCTGAATATCTTTGTTAATTTTCTGCCTGGATTACGTGTCTAATACTGTCAGTGGGGTGTTGAAGTTTCCCGCTATTACCCTATGGGAGTTTAAGTCTCTTTGAAGATGTCTATCCAGACTCTGGATGTTTCTGTGTTTAGTGCATATATATTTAGGATAGTTAGGTCACCTTGTTGAATTGAGCCCTTTCCTATTATATAATGCTCTCTTTTGTCTTTTTTTTTTTATCTTTGTTTGTTTTAAGTCTGTTTTGTCTGAAATTAGAATTGCAATGCTTGATTTTTTCAGTTTTTCATTTGCTTGGTAGCCTTTTTCCATCCCTTTATTTTGAGCCCATGTGTGTCATTGCCTGTGAGATGGATCTCTTGAAGGTAGCATACCATTGGGCCTTGCTTATTTAGCCATCTTGCCACTCTGTTCCTTTTAATTTGGGGCATTTAACCCATTTACATACAAGGTTAATATTGATATGTGTTAATTTGATCCTGTCATCGTTTTGTTAGTTGTTTGTCACGGCAGCTTGTTTATGAGGTTGCGTTATGATGTCACTGGTCTATGTTCTTAAGTGTGTTTGTGTAGTGGCTGGTAATAGTCCTTTCTTTCCATGTTTAGTGATTTTTTTCAGGGACTCTTGTAAGGCAGGTGGTAACAAGTTTCCTCATCATTTCCTTTTCTGTAAAGGATCTTATTTCTCCTTTGCTTATGAAGCTTAGTTTTTCTGGATATGACATTCTTGGTTGAAATTTCTTTTCTTGAAAAATGTTAAATGTAGGCCACCAATCTCTTCTGGTTTGTAGGGTTTCTGCTGAGAGGTTCACTGTTCATTTGATGTGCTTCCTTTTATAGGTGAACTAACTCCTCTCTAGCTGTCTTTATCTTTTTTTTTTTTTCATTTTTACCTTGGAGAATCTGATTATTATGTATCTCGGGGATGATCTTGTGAGGTGTTTTGTAGTTCTAAGCATTTCTCGAATTTGAGTGTTTACCTCTCTAGCTATGTTGGGAAAGTTCTCATGGATGATGAGATATGTTTTCCAAGTTATCTCCATTTGCCTCATCTCTTTTAGGGACACCAATGAGTTGTAGATTCAGTCTCTTTACATAAATTCCATATTTCTTGGAGGTTTTGTTTGTTTCTATTTATTTATATACTCTTGTCTGACTGTCTTATAAAACCAGTCTTGAAGCTGTGAGGTTCTTTCTTTTGATTGGTCCATTCTGCTGTTAATACTTGTGATTTCATTATGAAATTCTTATAGTGTGATTTTCAGCTCTGTCTAGTCAGTTACATTCTTTTCTATAGTGGCTATTTTGTCTGTCCGCTCCTGTATCATTTTATTTTTATTCTGAGCTTTCATAGATTGGGTTTCAACATTCTTCTGAATCTCAGTGATCTTCATTCCTATCCATATTTTGAATTCTATTTCTGTCATTTCAGGCATCTCAGCCTGGTTAATCAACTTTGCTGGAAAATTAGTATGATCGTTTGGAAGAAAGAAGATACTCTGGCTTTTTGAAGTCTTAGAGTTCTTGTCCTGGTTTTTTTTTTTTCATATTCAAGGGCTGATGTTTCTTCAGTCATTGAAGTTGCTATCCTTTGGACAATTGTCTTTTTTTTTTTCTTTTATCCTATTTGATGTTTTTGGGCATTTGATTATGATATAAGGTGTTTTCAGTCGACTTGTTTTAGGAGGATTTTAGGGGGCCAAGGCTCAGGTCAGGACTCCTGGACTGTGTGCTCTAACTCTTGGGGACTGGTATCAGGGCAGGGCTCTGATCTCTGTTTCCTTAAGGTTAGGAACCTGCTGCTCAGGAGGGGCCAGAGTGTGCTAAGACTGCTGTTTATAACACTTTGATGGTTGATGCCAGCCAAAGCACTTCATAGGCAGGTGGCAGCATGATCTGTCTTGTTGACACATGTCAGCAGCAGCAGCAGTGCAACAGGGTGCACACTCGTCTGCTATGGCTGGGTGCTGTCAGGTGCCAGGGTGCCAGCCTCCATGCAGGCATCTACAGCAGCTGTGGTAGCAGCACAGCTTGGGGATTTGAGAGCCCCCACTGGAGACTGTGTGCACATTCATACTGGTGGTGTTGTTAGCATGAGACGGGGCAATGGTGGATGCAAGAGTGTGTGTGCCCTTTGTGCCCACTCATTCTGGTGTCAGTGGCCGTTCAGGGCTAGGGGCAGGTTTACTGCTTTTGGTGGCTAGTTTTGTACTGGCGGCCCCAGTGCAGTGGTGGGGTGCTGGCAGGGCCAGGGCTGGCGGGCTCCATGCCTGCCCATTCTCTGAGAACAGTATCAGGGAGGGAGGATGGGGTGCACTCACGCTAACAGCAGTGGCACGGCAGGGTGGACGTGCATACATGCTGATGGGGAAGGGAAGATAGGTCCACCTGCACACGTCTACAAAGCATTGTGGTGGGTGGCCAGTGGTTGAGTGCCTGCAGCCAAGGCAGCATGAAGGAGGCTGCAGTAGGGGAAGAATGTTGGTGCGTGTCCACTGGGGTCACTCTGCTGGAGCATTCTGCTAGTCAGGCACAGTCTGCCAATGCAGGAGCTACTATGCAGGCCCCCAGGAAGTACCTGGGAGCTTCATTCCAGACAGGTGTGGCCAGGCTCGGGCTCTGGGAGAGAGCCAGCAGAATGAACAGTGGTCCAGACTGGCCCTGTCTCATGGGCAAGACCACCCTGCAGAGTTGAGGTCCCATAGTTCCCCTAGGGATAAAGTCTCCTATGGGAGCAAGCCTAGCCTAAGGGGATGGGTGTCCCTGGCCATGCTCCACTATGGACACTCCCATACCAAACTCTCTGGGCTCTGCCCCAACTGGAGTTCTGCTTCTACCACTTCCCTAAGCAGCTTTCCCTGTCAACTCAAGTGTCCATGGTGGTCCAGGGGTTCCTTCCTACCATGATTCCAGGGGCCTGTGGTGAAGGCGAATTTTGTTCCTTGCCTTTTCAACTTACCCACTATGCAGGAGTTGTTGGGGGCCAGGAACAGGTTGTGGTGCTTGGTAGCCCTGAGCAGGGTTCCCAGCTTCCTCCCACTTCCGTCCTGGCTGTGTGTTTTCCCTCCATCTGCTCTAAATGACTTCCCTCTGAAGATCTACTAGGAGTGTGCCAGTCTTGATATACCAGTCTCTCAGTGGGAGATGGTCCTCCTGGCTCTGTCTAGGTGGCCATCTTGGAGCAGAAATTTCTCTCTTTTTTTTTAATAAAAAAGTATGGAATCTGTTATTCTGTCTACTTTTGTGCATATTAGAAATGTTTAAGTGAAAATTTTTCTAACTCATAAATTTAAATGTATAAAGGAAATATACCAAAATAGTATCTTCAGAATTATAAATGACTTTCCATTTCTATAAAAGTCAAAAAAGTTATGCAATATTTTCTGAGAAAATATGTTATATGACAGGTACATGTTACCATAGAAATGAAAGATGGAAAGAACCAAATCAACTGAGATACAGGGGTAGTTTAGGTAGAAATGGAGGGAGGGGAATGTGTCCCCAGAAGAGAAAGGAGGAAATTGATGACATCTCCTATTCGGTAGTTTTACAGGGACCCATTTTAATAAGTTACAAGTATATATACACAATATGATCCAGTGAATTTAAGTATGTTAGCTTGCTATGTGTTAGTTCTAAATAAAGGTTTTTTTCTGTAGATGATGAGTCTCTAAGAATTATTGTTCTCTTCCATATTATAAACAACTTATACAGTCTTACCCACACAGAACACTCTCAGATATTAATGATTTATCAAAATCCAGTTAATTTCTCATGATAGTTGAAACCTAGCAATATCTTTCAAATAGAAAATGTCTTTTATTCACAACAGTTTTGCTCCAGATTAAATTTTTCTTCAAGGCAGTTTGATTTGTATTCTCTCTGCAGTGCTATGAAGAAAAATCCTCCAAAGATATCCTGAAAAGAGTAGCTGCAAATGCACTGATGTCACTTCTGGCTGTCAGTAGAAGAGCGCAGAAACGTGCTTTGGAAGGTGAGCCACGTGGCACATCAGCTGTTTCGGTGCTGTTATCAAAAATTCACATGTTTTGTTGCTTGTTCAAGTTAATTTTCTTTGGACTCAAAATGTAAAAAAATTACAGTATAATCTCAGTGTCAATAGAAATAAACATATATTTTCCATGCAGAAACACAGTAAACACATAGTACTTTTCAAATAAAAAGATTAGATGTGGTTTTCTCTGCAAGGGCTGATTTGTGATGGTCCTTGCTCTAAAGAGTCTTTATGTAAATATTAGAGCAGCTAAAAGATAACACATTGAATTTCATTATAATTAAATATTGGTATCCAGATGCACTCACAGCATGCCTGAAGAAAACCCACACAGTTTTAATGGTAAAAACAACAGCAACAGATGATTCCATATTTTCGTATAGATTTCTCCTCTTGAGTGTTATACTTTCTATTTGGGAATTGGAGAATTTAGATCTGAGAATTAAAAGAGAATAATGGCAACGGCAAGTCCATTAATATCAATTGTGATTTGCTAGTAGAGCCAATGATGTATTCCTCAAGATGGAAATTGGATCTGGGGAGTGTCTTTCTAAAACTGAAAACAAGCGGGAGTCAGCATTTTAGTCCTCTTACTTTCCCGCTCCGATTCATTAATCTCTCACTGAAAATCCTAAAATGAAGTGGATCAGAAATAGAAAATGTTACTTTTTTGATAATCTGATTGGTGTATGTGGTTTTAACTTACTTGGAAATAGAATATCTTTTTGACTGCTGCAGATTTTGTCTTTCAGCCAATCTTATAGACAACTGCATGGAGCAGATGAAACACATAAATGCACAACTGAATCTAGATTCTCTGAGGCCTGGGAAAGCAGCACTGAAAAAAAAGGTAACACAATGAACGGCTATATCTAGAGACCATTCTCTATGCTTCCTGTGCCTAGAAATGAGCACAAACTTGAAATGAGTGTCTCATTTAGAAGAAACGTACAATTGGATGATTAATGAGACTTCTACATTAGCAGATTGTTGGCTTTTTTTGTTCTTAATTCTTACTTGAAGAACTTTAGACAACGTCTGTCTATTATGTACTTTGTTTTTATAAACATTTGAAAATATCCACATATACATGATACTATGCCAGATAAGCTTTTTATACTACAAAAAGAAAATCTTTATCTCAAAACAATCATAGGTTAACTAGGAATGAGATCTAAAACAACTGTAATTTATTAAGGCTTTTCTATATGTCAACCACTATTGAAACAGTTTATATTTGTTATGAACAAACACTCATTACAGCTTAGTCACACAACTGGTAACTGATGGAGCTAATATTTGCTTGATATCTTAGTGGTTGCAGAGCTGGTATTCCTAATCTCTGTTTATCTCCTTCTGTGCCTTCTGAGTATCTCCTCTAGTGTTGAGTCTGCTGGACTCATGTTTAAATTGCATGCTCGGATAAACTCAGAGTAACAGAGTTATTATATAATAGCTATGGCTAACAATAACTACTGTGGTTAACAAGATCTGCCATCCACTTATTCAGCAAATGAAAGTGTGTGAATAGTATGAATACACAAATATACATACATGTCAGCATGTAAGGCCATTATAGCAGCACTGTGTGTAATAACTAGTTTCTACTTCATTTAATAAGAAAGCAAGACAAAGCCATGTTTAATAATTTAATTGATGCAGGAGATTGATTGTATGTTTATCAGTTATTGTTTGTTTGTTTGTTTTGCCTCTTTTCCTTTTTCCTCTCTAGCCCAAGGCCCTTACTTTATCATTGAGAAAGTCAGCCAACACCTGATTTGATTGAAAACCTGTCAGTATCTGCCTCACTTTATTGAGATGAAACATGGAGGCTATCATATATCCGAGTTCCTCCATGCTTCATTGAACAGAAATAGCTTTTTTGTGGTGAATGTGCTTCTTGAGATATGGTCATCTTTCAGAGATCGTTAGCTTGTCAGTTCCCTCTAAGTTACAGTGGTTGGGCATAATTAGAGCACAGCTGCATTGTACTGTGACCCAAAGGGGAGGGAATTACTATACACAAAGGGTGGAGTATGCTGTTGCATTCACAATTTTCAACTGCCTTTTGTTTAAATAGGAGGATGGTGTTATTAAAGAGTTAAGCATTGCCATGCAGCTCCTAAGAAACTGTCTTTATCAAAATGAAGAATGTAAAGTAAGTAGAGCTACTTTTCAAATTTTTAATAGAAGTGCTGGTATTAAGCCATTTAATTTTTATATGAGATAATGTAGTTGGAAAAATGGAACGCTCTGACTTTTAAATTTTTAGATGCACAGTTGATTGGTCCTTAAACTCAGTGATAATTGTCAGAAATGGGTGTATCTAATCTTGTATTCATCAACACTGATTACATTTGTGTATATCAGTGTTTTGATTTATCATTGAAACTTTAACTTCACAAACTTCAGCCTCATTCTGTACTCTCAGGCATTTTAGGTGTTTTTTCCCCACCTATTTTAGATATGGAATGAATGGCTGGATGTGTCTTCTAAGGTAGATTCTTTCAAAATGTGTTGTCAGAACAACTCTCCAAGGAAATAAGTGAAGCTGTCTGTATCGGTAAGGAAGAAAGATGAAGAGTTTTCTGCTTCAGAGGAGAAGATAGTTAGAGCTGATGCCTAGTGCGGCCACATCCACTGAGAGGAAGTTTCTTCTAGTTCTGCTGACTTCCTGTGACCATTTACACAGCCCCTCTGTCATAAATCACTGAGATGTTTTGCTTTGTTGATAAGCATTGATAATGTTGTTTTAAACCATTGTGTCAGTACTACTCTAGAAGATACAATCTTTTGAACACTCTGATTTGCTTTGTCTATAGTTTTACAACACTTTTGAAATACTAGATTAATGCTTTAGTGCAGAAATACTAGATTATTCTTTGTAAGAGCTTATCATGAAAATAAAATTTAAAAAATTAGATTAAAGCTTTAATACAGAAAGCAAAGATAAATTACAGAAGCTTCCTTTGCTTTTTAAATGTTTATCTGTTTTGCCATTACTTGTGGTAAGAGCACCTCTGGAAAATGGATGTGTTGAACACACTTCTTCCTTAGGCTATGTTAAAAAGCCGGATACATGACTCACAATTTATATTTCAGAGTAGTTTGATGGGAATTAAATATTTATTTATACATTTTATTAAAATTCCTGTGTATGAATTTATATGAACTTTTTCTTAAAACAGAGGTGCCATTAATAAACTTATGATTCCTTCATGCTTTTGATACTATGCTTGTGACTGGATGTACAATCAGTATTCATGTGTATATGTAAATATATAAATTTCATGTGTATCTGCAGTTAATATTCATCCATGATACTTCATTCAGGGAAATACTCTGGAATACTTTACGGATAGGATCTATAAAGATTTATGAAATGCTAACCTGGCTACTAGTTATAAATATTGTGCTCAATTTGCATCATATTAGCCATTTATAAAAGTGTAATATCTCAATAAGTCAAAGCATTTCTATATTTCTAAGTTGTTTAATAAGAAGTAAATCCAAAGAATATTTAGGTTATCCTTGAATATAAATATGATCTTATGGAGGTAGAGATTCTTAATTTCAATTTCAGCTTTTATCACATGTACGGCATGTTCTCATTATTAATAGTTGGTCATATTGGGTAATTCACCAGGTCACCCACTGCCACCCCACCCTGCTGTTTTCATATGTATAACATTACGGGATTTTTCATACTGAAAGGCAGGATCATGGCGGCTGTGAGGTAAATGAGTTAAACAGTCGACAACGTTAGATGGAGGGGACTGTCATAGTCCAGACAAGAGATGATGACACCTTAACTTGAGCAGGTAGAAAGGAGAAGAAGGGTAGGGAGTAAATTTGAGGCATAGAGAAGAAGAGGAATGTAGGGGACCTCCAAACTCCCGTGTAAGCTACTTACCAATGCAAGAGTGTATGATAGAGCAGAGCACAGGTGTGAGAGACCCGATGGTCATTCTTGCACATACTACCTTCAAGAGTCTTTGGGTCACCCAGGTGAAAGATGGCTTGTGGTCAGGAGATTTTATGGGTCTGGGACTCTGAGGAGTGATACAGACTGGGGATATTAGGAGTTATTGATGTGTGGGTGGTGTTTGTGGTCCTCACTATCATTGAAATTTCCCAATAAAGTATATAATGAAAACCTAGGTCATATCTTTGGACAATAAGAACATTTAAGAGAGGGCAGAAAACAGCTGAGAGGGGAATACTGGAGAAGGAATTTGGAGATTGTATTAGGCCATTCTTGTCTTGTTATGAAGAAGTGTCTGAGACTAGGTAATTTATTAAAGAAAAGAGGTTTAATTGGCTTACAGTGCTGCAGCCTGAACAGGAAGCATAGTGGCATCTGCTTCTGGGGAGGCCTCAGGAAGCTTCCAATCATGTCAGCAGGCAACAGGGGAACAGACGCATCACATGACTAGAACTGGAACAGGAGTGAGCTGGTGGGGAGGTGTCACACACTTCTAAATGACCAGATCTCATGAGTTCTCACTCACTGTCTTGAAGAAAGCACTAAGCCATGAGGAATCCACCCCCAAGATCTTAATACCTCCCACCAGGCGTCACCTCTAGCATTGGGGATTACAGTTCAACATGAGATCTGGGCAGGGACAAATACCCAGACTCTATCAGAGATGATCTGAGATAGAGCAGCAGCATGGAAATTAAGAAAGAAGAGACGCATAGCAAATGCCACAGTGCTTCAGCGTTGTTGGCAACAACAAAAGTGGGAGTGGCCTCAATAGAATCATCAGGGCAGAAAATAAATGGAAATTAAAGATTAAATGTGAGATGGGGAAATTACCGCAATAATAATGTGGAAGTTTGGTCATGAAAAGTGGCATTAATAATTTAAGACATATAGGATGTTTCTCTTAGCAGGTAAACTCCTAGAAATGAGCAAATTGGGGACTAGTTGTTTCAGAGACAGCAAGAGAAGAACTCACTGGTGGTTAAAGATCCCTGAGGAGGCAGGAGGAGCTGTGTTTCAGAACACGGATGGATGTATCAATCTCCCACAAAAAGTGGAACACCTCTTTCTCACTGCCAGGCAGACAGGAAGGATGAATGGATGAAAATACAGATAAACTGTGTGGACAGGATGGCAGAACAGATAAAGGAATTTGTACTTAATCTTTTCTGTCTTCTCTGTGAAATAGCAAGCAAGGTCATCTGGTGCAGATGGAGGGCTGTGTGCCACAGAGAGTGGTGAACATGGGAAGAACTTTAGGGAGAGCATTGGGAATGACTGTAGTGCTTATGGGGAGTGTCGAACATTGGGAATCACTTCTATTCTGCCACTTGATGCTATGTGAAATTGTATAGGGTGTGTGTATTTATGTGCATGCTGACATGTATAAACATGAGTCTATAAATTACCTTGGAATTCTTGTTCGTTTAAAAAAGATATTGCTGCACTTACTGTAAACAGGTGTATTTTATCTGCAGTGTTGTCCCAGGGATAACTGATCTTTGTAATAAAGACCTCAAGTTACTTCAGAATTTATTCATTTAACATGCTATATAGACTGAATTTTATATATTCATATTTCTCAAAAATTGTAATTTACTTTGGATATATATACACACACGGGGGGTGGTGAGGAGAGGAAGAGAGGGTGGGCAAGGGAGGACTCAGAGTTGATCAGAATGTTTACTTGACCAGAAATTCTCACTTCTTGGCCATTTCATAGCATTTACAGGAATATATTCAGTGTTGTGAGATACCACTTTGCTGCTTAATTTATGTGTTACAGAGGCTGTTTGCTATGCTTCCTACCTTAGTGGCACATATTAACCACCCTGGTGTTGAAGGGACTTCCTGAGACTGGTCAGGCTCTTGGTCAAGGAAGCCATGTGTGGAGCCCAGTGGGGCTGGGGCAGGATGCTGAAGCCAGCCACAGGATCCTGCTGGTGTCTTATGTTGGTGGCTTTTCTTTGTTTTGTTTTGATTTTAATATTTTCACATATTCAGAATAATGCTATCTTTTTTCCTTCCTTCAACAGGAAGCAGCTCTTGAAGCTCACCTTGTCCCTGTCTTGCACTCTCTCTGGCCTTGGATTTTGATGGATGATTCATTGATGCAAATTTCTCTGCAGCTTCTTTGCGTCTATACTGCAAATTTTCCAAATGGTAAACAGAATCCAGTATGGCCTTTCAGTAATATACCAAAATACTAGTTTTATAAATGTTGTTAAGGTGAACTAGAAAAAGTAATACATATTTTGAAGTGTTTCTCCGATTTACTGAGAGTATGATGGGCAAAGGCAAGCTTTCTTTTCGGTATGAGAGCAGACAGATATTTTAGTGTATTTGTTGACATGAGAGAGTCCTTGGCAGTACAGGGAATAGAGAGGGAGGACTGGTCTGATTATCTGGCAATTGGAAATTGAGTTGAGTAGAAAAATTGAGAGGATAAAAATTATGATGTAAGACCTCAAAAGCCAGGTGAAGGTTAGAACTTCTTGTAGATTCTAGAACAGGAGATGGGCATGATGAAAGTTAGTTCTCACAACAGTTGGTCTGGTGATACTTGATATCACTAGGGCTGCTCTTTCACTCAGGCACTTGATAGACATTTTATCAAGAGTGTGCTGTGGGCCATGCATTGTGAGTTCTGGTGAGAATGATCTGAAATGAGATAGGAGGACAGGTCATGTAGGGCCTCAGGGGCCACAACAGGGAGTTTGGATTTTTATGTGAATATAACAGGATGCCATTGGCAGTTGTAAGCTGGGGAGTGGCATGATTTAATTTGTGTTTAAGAATGATTAGGCTGGGCGAGGTGGCTCATGCCAGCATTTTGGGAGGCTATGGCAGGAGGATCACTTGAGGCTAGGAGTTCGAGACTAGCCTGGCCAACAAAATGAAACTGGTATCTACTAAAAAAAAAAACATACAAGAATTAGCCAGACATGGTGGTACACACCTGTAATCCCAGACTTGGGAGGCTGAGGCAGTAGAATCACTTGAACCCAGGAGGCAGAGGTTGCAGTGAGCCAAGATCATGCCACTGCACTCCAGCCTAGGCAACAGAGCAAGACTCCATCTCAGGAAAAAAAAAAAAAAAAAGAAGAGAAAGATTACTCTGGGTGATATGTGGAGAATGGATGATTGGGAGCAAGGCTAGAAGCAGGGAGACTTGTCATGGAGACATAATGGTGGCTTGGGCTTGAGTGGTAGCTGGAGAGATTGAAAGAAGCAGACAGATTCAGTATATGGCCCAAAGGCAGAGTCAAGGAAACCTGTGGTGGGAGGTAGGAAGGAAAGAAAGGTGTCCAGGGTAAACCTCATTTGGAGAAAGGAGCCTGAATGCACACTGGTGCCGTTTACTAAAATGGGGAAGATTTGGAAGAAGCAGACTTGAAGTGAGAAAAAAGTAGGAATCAAGAGTTCTGTTTGGTCTTTTTAAGTCTGAGGTGTTGATATTCACTCAAGTGAAAATAGTAAGATGGAGTTGAATTCAACGGAGAGTAGAGGTAAGTTTGAAGATTTAAAATATTGGGAATATCATTCGTTATTTATTACCACAAGACAAATTACTCTAAAATTTAGCATCTGTAAACATCAATCATTTCATTATGCCACAGCTTCTGTGGCTCAGGAAAGTGGAAATGGCTTACCTGGGTGGTCCTTGCTCAGAGTCTCTGCAGTCATCCGAAGTCTTGACTGGGATGGAGGATTCAGTGTGCCTATGGCAGCCTCACTTCCTTGCTACTTCGGGCTGTTTCAAACGACCCAGAGTACGCGCGCCCAGGGCAGAAGTTACAGTCTCTTATAACCCAGTCTCAGAAGTAACTGAACAGCACTCCTAGCTCCTGACAGTCACACATAGCAACCCAAGTACAGAGGCAGGGGCCACTGGGAGCATCTTGGAGGCTGGCTACCATAGGAGTTGTTGTCACAGAGGTTGCATTTAAAGTCCTGTGGCTATCTGAGATTACCCATGGAGAATGTATAGATGGAGAAGCAGAATCCCATGACCAAGTTCTGAGGCACATCGACATTTGGAGTTAATCAAAAGATGAGAAAAAGCAGAAAAAAAAGGAACAGTCAGTGAGATAAGAGTGCACAGTCACAGAAAGTCAGAGATGGGCATACTCAGTTGTGTGGAATGCTCTAGAAAATTCTACTAAAATAAGGATAGCAATAGTGGCTACTGGGCTTAGCAATACTGATGTTCTTGTGGACCTTGAGGGTTATTTTAGTGCAGCACCGAAACAGAAACCTAATTAGTGTGGGCTGAGGAGAGAAGATGAAGTAGAGGAGACAGACTTTCCAAAATGTTCTACATATAAGGGGGCAGAGAAATGGAGCAACAGCAAGAGACAGATATGGAGTCAATGGAGGAGCTTTTGCTGTTTTTAAAAATGTGTGTTTTAAAGGTATGTTTATTAAGGGGTTGCTAGAGTGAGGTACAGAAAAGAGTGCATGTAAGAGCACACCCTGAGAGGACAAGAGGGGTGAAAGCTAGAGCACAGCTGACAACAGGAAGCAGAGGGAAGGCTGAGAGGAAGGATGTGGATTTAGGTAAGTTGGTAGACTTGATGGGAATGATGAGAAAATTCCCATTTTGAATACTTCTCCTTTCTTCATTTAGGAGAGAACACTGACCACTAAGAATGAGCAAAGCCAAGGGGTAGAGGTGATGTGAGAAGTGGAGAAAGTGTGAAGTAGCTGTGTTTAGAGGAAGGAAAGCAAACACACTAGGGAAGCAAAGTAGGATTGCTGGCAGTGTTAAGTACCCGTTTAAAATTTATGCTCATCGATTTAAGATTTGACTAGTTACCAAGTGTTTGTGCTTTCTTCCAACAACATTCAGGGGGTCTAAATATCAAAGGTTATACAGAGAAGGGACTAGAACTTAATTAAGAGCCCATCTAGTTACTGCCAGATGCTGATGATGGCTTATTCTTTTGAATAGTCTGACACCTCTGGAGCTGTCCATTTCGATACCCAGCTCAGGTTGTCTCCAGTCAGCACAAAGAGATAGAAGCAGACCTTCAAGCTCTTGAACTTGAACTATCATTGAAGCATATGTGTACAGAATTGTCCCTGCCTTCATTCTGTGCTGCCAACTTTCTCCGTTCCTTAGATCTGGTGGGAATGTCTCGTTTCAGTGCATTTTCCAGCTCCACTACTGTATCTTTTGTTGGCTTACTCATCTTTTGTGAGTTTCTTTTATAGAATGTATTTGATTCTGATCAATTTATACTTAAGTTAACCTCCTTGTATGACTTTCACAAGTCAATTATACCTTAGGTTTACATATAGTACAGTCTTATTGATTTAACATTAAAATGCATTTCTAATTTTCAAAAATTTTTCTCTCCCTCAATAAGTCTCATTTAGTTGTTAATTTCCTGAGAAACACTGGACCCTGGAAAGCCTGTAGATGCCACTGCTGGCTCCTGTCACTTCTAAGCTGTGTGACCTTGAGCAACAAACCGGCTTTTCTGAGTTTTATATCTTGTTGACCAAATATAGAAAATATTATTTGTTCTGTCCCCCTTCCCAGGGATATTATGTTCATTATTTGTCAGTTATGTAAAATGAAGGCATTATACAAGTTATCTCCCATTTCTAAAATCTGTTCCTCTACACAGGCCTTTATTTAGATGTTTTCTTTAGGAACAATTAAAAACCCTAGTATACTTATTTTATTCTTTTTTTAAAAAATAAACCTGGTATCTTAAAGTGCTCTATTGACATAATTAGGCCCTCAGTGAGGACAAGCCTATGAGGTTGAATGTAGACACCAACATTAGCCCCCATTGCTAATTTGCAGTTCACAGGGTAATGGCTAAGTCATTTTGATAGACAGATATGCTTTACCACTTAGTGTATTCAAAAACTAAACAGGGAAAGGAAACTGAGAAGACATTGTGATCGGCGATTATTTTTAAAGGTTGCAGTTCTCTTTGTTGGTCAAGTTGTGGACAGCACCCTGGTCAAGCAGCACACAGAGGAGCCCTGGGCAACTCTCTGATGCTGTGTGTCCTAAAGTTGGCTTCCCAGATGCCAATGGAGAACACCACAGTTCAGCAGATGGTTTTTATGCTTCTTTCAAACCTGGCCTTGTCTCACGACTGTAAAGGAGTAATTCAGAAGGTAAGCCCTTAAACTCCCCTTCATCTCATAAAAGGCTACTCAGTGAAATAATCTTTCCAATCAAAAGTTTACAACTCAGTTTCCAGGATTAATATATTATGTTTGGAGGCATTTTATTTTAAAGGATTATGAAAGGATTAAGAGGTTCACTTTGTTTAAAGCCAGTTGATGGATGACACATGAAAGGGGACAGGAGCTAGAGTAGAATCCTGCCATTTCCTTCCATTTATCTTCTTAGCATTTGGATCGTATTTTATCTTTCTCAAAAATGAGGGTTTTAGAAAGATAGCTGTCTTACATTTACTGGAGATAATAAAAGTAATATATTTGGTCTTTAAACAGACCAAATCGAGCAGTAACAATTTCAGTTTAATTTCGTTGACAAAATGGTTTATGAAATCACAGCCCTTCTCCCCGTTAGACTTTAACTTCCTTATGGCATGAGAAGCAATTTTCTGAGTTCTCTAGGACTCTGGTTCCCAGTCTAGACTTCTCATCACTGATTCTAACTTAAGGTAATTTAAAAGGGATGTAATGAGTGAAATAAATTCTAATATACATGTGCAGTTAGATTCTGTATTTAGATATGTATGCACAGACTCCCTAATTGGGAAAATCCCTTCAAATTTGAATGTAATCAGATTATATATTACTTACTAGTAGTGTTTTTTGAGTGCCTCTGTTTCTTTTTACTTGAAGGCCAAGATAAATTGCAGAAATTGAGAGCATTTATAAGAACTGAGTCTCCTTTTCCTCTACTGTTTCTTCTCCCTGAACTCCTCAGAAGATACTTTGTTATCACCACATAAATAGAGAGATCCGTCTTTCTAAGGAAGTGGAAAGATCAATCTTACCAAGGAAAGATGCTTTCAGTGGTGCATTGGTGCCAGTTCCTACTAACTCATGAGTGTCATCTTAAGTCTGCAGGAATTTTATAAAAATTCCAGTTGATGTATATTGTCTTGAAATCAGCCACAGTGGGAGTATCACACCATGTAATTTGGTGAACTCTACAAATCGTGGATCTTTTCTACCCTCACTGCAATCAGTTGTTTATTTACCAGCACATGGCTGGATATTTTCTTCAACTATATGTTCTTGTATGTCATATATGTATATATATTTGAATATATTTTCTTCATATATGTATTTATATACATATATCATTTCCAAAATGAGATGTTATCTTGAACTGGATATATGTGATTACCACTTTAAGAATGAGAGATTCTGCATATGTGAGAGCAGAGCAGGGGCAGTGCTTTCCACCACTTCGTTATAGAGCATGTTGGTGGGAAGCTAAGTGGGATGGAATGTAGGTGCCAGTCATGAGTCTGGTCTGTGACTTTGAGCTGGTGACCTGTTCTCTTTCAGCTTCCTTTGGGTTAAAGTAAATAATCTCTAAGATATGTTCCACTTTTAATCTGTTATTCTAGTGCTATACTTAAGAATATTTTGATGAAGTGTGATCAGACTCTCTTTCCAGGGACAGATTAATCAAATCTTTTTCCTCTGCTCTAATTAGGAAATGCCTGAGACTTCCTCTGTGGCATTAAGTAATAATGAGCCCAGACACTTCACATTTATACTTCTTCATTATTCATCTATAGGACTTAGAAAGTGCAGCAGGAACTAGTGTACAATTCAGGCCCTGAAGTGTCTCGTTTTCTTTTCTACTATGGTATACATTTCTACACATTCTACTTGGTGTAGAAAATTGTCTGAAAACATCTTTAGATGCAACAACAACAGCAAAAACAAAAGGAGTGCCCATAGCACATTTAGATTTTAGAGCACTGACATATGTCTTACCACCTTTGTCAGTCCGAACCCAGCAAGGGTTGAATCTAAAACATGTCAGTTTGGCTGAGAGAGGAGAAGTGGGCATGAGTGACAGACAGCACATGCAACTGAAAGTCGGCATGTAATTTTACAGTTTACTTATTGTTTGGGTAATGTCGATAATATTTCTGTAACTAATTTTATTCTCAACACTCAGAGTCCTTTGTATAAAAATGTTAAATGTATTTTATAGATTAAAGCCAACATCTTGATTTTGGTCCAGGAAAACCTAAGAGAGAAACTGGAGTAAATTGAAACAGAAAGAGAAAGGAGTTATTCTGTGCAATCACAAAAGTTCAGTGATTGCATTTCATTTCTAAAGTGTCCAACCAACTGTTTCCATGCTGTCATGGGCTTCAGCTTGATACAGCATTTTTATACTTTGCATATAGATTAGTCTAGACAATAATTTATTATCTTTCATATACTTAAGGATTTGGTGGGGTTTGTAGAAGGGGCTTTATTTGGAGGTTGAAAAGACTCTCACAGTTCAAATGATAGAGCTTTCTCATCTGTAAGCATAATAGAATGACATGTAGCCATCAAAAATTCTTATTTGTAATGATAAGTACCTGGGATAAAGTGAATCTAAGTTGTATCTATAGGTTTGATAAAAACAACAACACTTGTAGCTACAATGATCTAAAATACTCTCACTACTTCCAGAGCTGTTAGCTAGTATTCAAGACTGATTTGGATTTTTGTCTTTTTTCCTTCCATAGGGTAACTTTTAATGAGTAGCAAAATTACCAGAAGGCAGATAAAAGCGAAAACTCAAAAGGCCTGAAATAATCTCCAAACTGAATTATCAATTCTGAATAATTAAGAGTTAGCTATAGTATACTTTATCCATCATGAGGAAAGAATTAGTGGAAATTAAAACTTGAGCACAATTTTGTTCTTACCTTTTTCACTTATACTTGGAAGTAACGTAGATGGAGTATTCCAAAGGTATTAGAAAGAAGGAGAAATTAATGTAAAGGAAGACTGTAGCAGAATGTTAGTTAATTGGTCACCAAGGGACTAGGATATTAATGAAAAAGACTGGAGAAGAAAATAATATTCTCTCCATTTATCCACAGAGTAACTTCTTGCAGAACTTCCTCTCTCTAACATTGCCAAAAGGAGGAAATAAACATCTCAGTAATCTGACAATTCTTTGGTTGAAGTTACTCGTGAATATATCATTTGGAGAAGACGGGCAACAAATGATTCTGAGGCTTCATGGCTGTCTAGACTTACTAACAGAGATGAGCAAATACAAGCATAAGAGCAGCCCTTTACTGCCTCTTCTTATCTTTCATAATATTTGCTTCAGTCCTGCTAATAAACCCAAGATCCTGGCTAATGGTAAGTATTCACACACATGCATGTTTATATATGTGGTTATTCATAGACTGTTAAGATCAGCCCCAAATAATTTTATAAGTAATTTTCTAGGCATTTATTAAACACTCACTGTGTTCAAGGCACTGTGGATGGCATGGGCTCTGGGAATGAACCAGGCATTCCATGGGCTGCCTGGAGTCTCTGAATTTAGCACATCATGTCATTCCCATGGACATACTGGACACATGGAGGAAGAGGAGCTGTGGGCGTGGGCACCCTGACCTTGTCTTCTGCTTCCTCTCCTCTCTCTTTGCTCTTCCTCTAACTCCCCATCCCCTTCTCTGCATCATCAAGCAAATGCTACCATGTGAATGAAGCCTCTCCAGAACCACGTCAGTATTATAGCCCCCAACCCCTTCTTTCTGCCTTCTTTTTCTTTTTCCTCACTCTCTTATTTCCTGGTTTTATTTCTCTGCATAGTATTATCACCATCTGATAGACTGTGTGTTTCATGTATCTGTCTATTCCTAATCTTCCCACAACAGAAGGTGAACTCTTAAGGGGTCAGGAGGTTTTTGTCTGCTTTGTTTGTTTATTTGTAGCACCTAGAATTGTGCCTGCAACTAGTGAGCATTCAATAAATACTTGATGATTGACAGAGATCCTAAGCAGGCTGGAGAGTTCAGGGCTCGAGATTAGATGGTGCAGTTAGCCTTGCAGAGACTTCATTCTCTGAGATGTAGGACAGATGGAGGCGAGGATTGGTGAGGATTCAGAAAAAAATTGAACTGAAAAGAATTGGAAAGACCTTTTTCTGCAACCATGTGTTATCTCTATGAGGAGTATGTCAATTTCACAGGGAGTGAGTTTTATAAGAGACATGTGTTCTAGTGAAAAACCACAAGGTGGGCTCCAGACCCCTGCACACCTGTTCTTGAATGCCAACCCCAGGTTGGCATCACTCTAGCATTGCCTGGCACAGCCTCGCTAGACCCAGCTTCTTCATCTATAAAAGAAACCCACTATTCTTGATTTGGTTAAGAATCAGTTTATAAACACACATAAAGTGCCCAGCACTGTTTCTGGTACATGATAAATGTTTAGCATAGATCCATTCTCTTGTTCTTTCATGTTTTTCACTTCATCTTTTCTCAGAGGCATTTCTCTATGAAATCAAGTTTTCCAAGTGTATGAAAGTGATTCTCTTTATATTTTGTGGTGTATATAGTTGTGATTCTATTTTTCTGTTAAGCCTTCTGATAATCAGCTGCTAGGAATATGATACAGAAAGATGTTTAAAGTCCAGTTCGCCTGTACCAGAGTTAACCCTACTATGGATTTTGCACTCTGCCTTCCCGTGGCTGCTGCGCTGATGTTGCACTCTCTGTTGCCAGGCGATGTACATCACTGGTTTTATTTCCATCCTCCCCACTGTATCTGCTTCAGTCCTCACATTTGTAAAATGAGGGTAATGATAATCCCTCCTCAGGGCAGTAAGAGAGCCTGTGAAGCATCTGTGACCATTCTTGGTATGCAGCATTTACTCAGTAACATCTGATATTATTTATTCACCTTTCTTAGAATAATTTTTTTCTTTGGGGACTAATTACTCCAATTTATTATTGAGAGTTGGAAAAAGGACCAGCTTTTTGGGAACTGAAGGAGAGAAGTCTGCGTTTTCCACTTCTAGATCCCTCTAGAATTATTTTTAGCATTTCTTTGTAGTCAGCAATGCTTTCTCTGCTTCATTAGCTTAAAGCAGATGGACACTTTGGTGAAAAGAAGCTTCCCATACTCCCAGAGACTAGAGATCAGTGGGCTTTCGAGGCAGGGGTAAGATAAGAGACAGCAGTGTACAGTTGCTGTGTGGAACTATAAAGGGATGTCACAGGCTATGCCTTCCTTTCCACTTGGGGATTTTTAGAGGAGGCCTTAGCAGAGTCAGCCAGCTGAAAAGACTCCCAGGAAAGGCTGCCTCTGATCGGTAGAACCCGCACATCTGCTTTAAGTAGTCAGGAGTGGAGTGTACAGTGGAGCTTGATCTTGCTGTTAAAAATAGGTCTGAGGCTGGGCACAGTGGCTCATGGCTGTAATCCTAGCACTCTGGGAGGTGTGGTGGGTGGATCATTTGAGGTCAGGAGTTTGAGACCAGCCTGACCAACATGGTGAAACCCTGCCTCTAGTAAAAATACAAAATTTAGCCAGGTGTAGTGGCAGGCGCCTGTAGTCCCAGCAACCTGGGAAGCTGAGGCAGGAGAATCACTTGAACCTGGGAGGCGGAGGTTGCAGTGAGCCGAGATCGCGCCACTGTACTCCAGCCTGGGCAACAGAGCAAGAGCGAGACTGTAGCTCGAAAAAAAAAAAAAAAAAAAAAAGAGATCTGGAACATTTCTTGTTTCTGGTAGTGCCAGGCTAAGTCTCCCATGAAAACAGCAATAACATTGTATGCTTGGCTTTTGTTGGATATCGAGGGATGAGAGTACAGGAAGCTGCTATTCCCCAAAGTAGGAATTCTTACTGGCTTCCTGCTTGTATTAAGCTGGACCGCCAGAGAACCATTCTCTTAACAAACGGATGAGTCAGAAATAAGTTGGTTTCCCAAACTGCATGAAGGAGACTGTAGAGAGAAGAAAAAAGTGTGTGAGACTGGGTACTACAGACTGCTTCTGATGGGGCTCTGCACGCAGAGTTGGCCATGAACTTGGTTTAAGGTATGCCTCTGGGTACTTAGAAGCAAACTGCCTTGGTGATGGATAAAAGACGAGTTCATACTGGGCATCAGGGAACCTCCACAAATAATTGTTCAAAAGCATTGACCAGTACAAAGTTAGAGATAATCAAACACATTAGGAGACATGGCAACATGTAGTAAGAAACAGCAAAGGGATAAAAATACCAGCCTCTCTGCCCAGACTTTATGGGAATTACAAAGCATGGGTTTAAAAATAACTTTAATTATACCATATTTAGATAAATAAATGACAAGCTTGAAAATTTCAGGAAATGGGAAACTGACAAGTTGAAAAATTTGAAAAGAACCAAATAGAACTTCAAGAACTTTACTGTGCAATATGATAATCAGCCACATGTAGTTATTTAAACTTAATTAAAATTAAATATTCAGTTAGTCAGTTGCACTCACTACATGTGGCTAGTGGCTATCTTATTAAATAACACAGATAGGAATATTTCCATTATTGTAGGAAGTTCTGTTGGACAGCACTAATCTAGAACTTCAGGAGCCAAAATTGAAAACCTAATGTACAGATCTGACAGCAAGTTAGGTAAAGCAGAGGAGAGAACTTAGAGATTAGAAGATAGATTAGAAAAATATTATCCAGAATGCAGCAGAGAAAAGTAAAATGATGAGAAAGAATTAAAAGAATCAAAGTTAAGTGACACAGCAGATATATCAAGACAGTCTGTGTGTTTAATGAAGTGTCCTAGAAGAATCAGAGAGGAAATATTTGAAGAGATGATGGCTAAAAACTTTAAGAACTTTTCTAAGACACTAATGTCACCGTAACTGACAACTCACTGTAATCACCAACATGATATCCCTAAATTTATAATTAAACCAATTATATTAAGAAGGTAATATTCAAAACTCATTATTTCTAATTATTTATATTTTACTATCACATATTCACTTGAAGTTATTTAAATATTTATATGAGAGTTCAGACTTATTTGTTAAACTCAAAATTGTTTTATTGCTTTTTTCATATGCATATGAAATGTGCATGTTTCACAATAAAATTTGTTTTTTTAAAAAGTCAATCCACTTGCATTATCATAGGGCCCACCATATTATTTCACACACAACACACACACACACACACACACACACACACACACACACACACACACACATATACAGTACTTTATTAAAAATGCTTTAAGGGATAGCAGCTGGTTGAAGGAGTTATAAACTTACCTAGATCATAGGAATTATATATTCTGAGTGTTTGAGACGACATTTAAAAACATCACTTGGTGCTACTCAGATGGAAACAAGGAAATCACCCTCCCGTTTAGTAAGGGGACATTTGATGATGTACCTAATGAGTGGTACTTGCAGCCATACGTCACATGACAAATTTTTTCTGCCAGCTACTTACAAGGCCTGGTTCTGGGTAGGTTAGGATACAGGAAAACCAAAGGGCATCAGATAATGCAGATGAGGTGTTCAGGGAGTCAGCTGCAGCATGCTAGAAACGTTGCTGCACCTGCCTTTCATATTGTCCTTCTGCTGCGCATTTCAAGTTCACTTCATGGGGCAGCTTTTTTTGTTCACTTTTTGTTAAATATTTAAAATCCCTTAAAATAAACAAAATTGAATTACATAGACAAAATTTTTGTTTTAATTCTGGAATCTTTCACCCAATGAGTATTTAATGAGCTCCTAAAATGTACTAGCACTGTGGTTGGACTAACAACACTGAGTAGACGCTGCTCTCTGACTAATACCAGTGAGCAGACGCTGCCCTCTGACTAATACCAGTGAGCAGACATGAGCTGTAATGAATACCAGTGAGCAGATGCTGCCCTCTAACAAGTACCAGTGAGCAGATGCTGCCCTCTGACTAATACCAGTGAGCAGACATGACCTGTAACGAATACCAGTGAGCAGATGCTACCCTCTAACTAGTACCAGTGAGCAGATGCTACCCTCTAACTAGTACCAGTGAGCAGATGCTGCCCTCTGACTAATACCAGTGAGCAGATACTGCCCTGTAGTTAGTACCAGTGAGCAGACATGACCTGTAACGAATACCAGTGAGCAGATGCTACCCTCTAACTAGTACCAGTGAGCAGATGCTGCCCTCTGACTAATACCAGTGAGCAGACACTGCCCTGTAGCTAGCACCAGTGAGCAGACATGACCTGTAACAAATACCAGTGAGTAGCTGCTGCCCTCTGACTAATACCAGTGAGCAGACACTGCACTCACAGACCCTGCCCTTGAACCAGTTATAGTTTAAATACATGTATTTTGGGAGTGGCAAATAGTATTTGTT